AAAGCATTTGAAATGTGTTCAGAGGAGAAACTGCCGTGATGATGTGCACCAATGACCCAATGTTGTGGAAGTTGAACAAATAGTTTTGAGAACTTTAAGTCTGATGTGAAAAATGCACCAAAGCGACTGAGAAAAAACTGTAATGCAGGGACTGTACAGTCTAATGGTGTATTATACATGTGTCTTTTCCATGATTTGCTGTGATTATTATGTTTTATTACAGCTGCTCAAAGAGTAGCTCTCTGCCATTTCTGTTTCATAAAAGTTCTCCAATCAAAAAAAAAAGTTGGAGACCCCTGATCTAAGCTTTATGAATAACACAATGAGCTCTGAGGAGGCAAACATAACTGTTAGCTTCCATGTTGGGATTTATTTACAGATATATTTTTAAAACAAACCTTTGTCCTAAAGATGCCAAACTTTAATAATAAGTCCATAAACTCATCTCTGGCAGAAACAGAATCACATGAAAACATGTCCCTTGTATTTCCCTGAATCTTCTTGTGTCTTCTCTCTGCTGTTCACATAAACATAAACCACAGCTTGGGAGGAGACCCCAGCGAAGACCCAGGACACGTTGGAGGAACTTCATCTCTCAACTGGCTTGGGACCACGTCGCAATTCCCCCAGATGAGCTGGAGGGGGGGGGGGGTGGGAGAGGGACGTCTGGGCGTAAAATGCTGCCCCCGCGACCGGCAATGGATAAAGCAGAAGAATTGGATGGATGGACCACAGCTGACAGAGCTGTGTCCAAATTCTCTCCTGTGCCCCCGAAGATTCTCCACCACAATAAAAACACATACATTGGCCACATTGCTATAAAGGCAGCAGAGTTTAAAGAACTTGAAAATAGTAGAAAATCAAAGTGCAGCAATTACTGTATGTAAAAAAATACATTTAACTCGCTTTCAAAAATGTTATCACTGGTTAGCACTAGTTTCAAGATGTATTTTTGGGCTCTGTCACATCAGATTAGACCGAAACATAAAGAGAGAACCACTCTCACTAAAGAGTCAAACAGTGACTTCTTCAAATGTAAAAGATAACGCCTTTTGCATTAAGATGAAGAGACATTACTTTTTCAAGACTCTCTCAGTTGGGAAGAAGAAACGTCCAGCTTTCACTACAGAGCACAGCAAAGTACTGCTGCTTGTCCACTCCAGTGTGTGTTGCCTCTAGTGAGAGTCTTGTGTGTCTCCCTCAAAACATGCAGCAACAGTTCTGTCCAAAAACACATCAGAAACATAACGCCAGAAAAAAACATTTAAAGGCAGTTAAACAGGCTGTGAACCAACATTACAACATACAGTCAACAGCATCACTAACATGGAGGCAGAGCTTGGATGGAGATGAAATATTAAAGCCAGAGAAGTCAATGCAAGGATCTGGATTGACATGTTCGAACCAAAGACAAGTGAAGGCTTTGATTTGTCTGAGTTCATCAAACCACATTAATTGGGTCGGTCGTCAAACTCCAGGCGTTAAACAGACAGAAATCCCCACGGTCAAAGTCTAAGTGACAATTTGACAGGCGTTAGCTGTTAGATCAAGCTCTGTTCCATCTCAACCGTCACTGCCAATAAATGTTAGGTCAAAGCGGAAGACTAAAAGAAAGGATTACCACGAGTCATGAAAACGTTGTGGTCATATCTGCAGCAAAGGCCAAATCCTAAGAAAGATAGACAGACAGACAGACAGACAGACAGACAGACAGACAGACAGACAGACAGACAGACAGACAGACAGACAGACAGACAGACAGACAGACAGACAGACAGATAGATAGATAGATAGATAGATAGATAGACAGATAGATAGATAGATAGATAGATAGATATTTTATTGATCCCGTCAGAAATTCAGGTGTCCAGTAGCAGCAAAAATAAAAAATAATATTGTTCATTCAAAAAAAGATAACAATAGTAATAATCAGCATTAGCCCTTCAGGTCACAGCAGCAGAGGTGGAGTAGCCTCTGGGTGGAGCAGGACGGGTCACAAGGTGGAGTAGCCGCTTGGTTCTTAGCATTTTCTCTGCTCTAGTCCAAAGTAAAATGCTAAATGGTTCATTAGCATTATTTAAAAAGCTAGCATTCCTCCAATGGATTTTCACCTGATCCACTTGGTTCGGACCATGAATCCTCTTCGCTCCGGTCGGGACCAGTGTAAAACCATGAATCCTCTCTGCTCTGGTCTGGACCAGTGTAAAACCATGAATCCTCTCTGCTCCGGTCTGGACCAGTGTAAAACCATGAATCCTCTCTGCTCTGGTCTGGACCAGTGTAAAACCATGAATCCTCTCTGCTCTGGTCTGGACCAGTGTAAAACCATGAACACTGTACTGCTGCCGTTTTCCAGCGCATTCAAAATTGAACAACTTAGTACTGTGTTGGGAGATACCAAAGTGTGCCGACTGTGGCTTTAAAGTGCCAAACAGTGGTTAGGCAAGACACCTCACCCACATTAGAATGGGTCTGGGGGGGTGTGTGAATGGTTGGTGGTGGTCGAAGGCCCTGAGGATTGTCCCACTTTTTTAGGAAAGAACCGCCCTCTCCACTTTATTAACAAAACTCTTTTTTTGACGAGCACGTATCACCAGAATGATTGACAATTGGGAGGACCATTAGTCTTGATGATCCACCCGGAAGTAGAAAATCCTCCTATGTTTTTGTCAGTGTGCCTCAGGGCAGCTGTGGCTACACCAGTAGTTTATCAGCACCGTGTTTGGAGTGAGTGAATAATTATGTGAAGCGTCTCTGAGCGTCCAAAACCGATGCATTAGCTCTGTGTGTCCGACTACAAACGCCAGTGATACAGGCACAAATAAATATCATGAATATTTTCTGTTTTCTAATTGTTAATGTGCACTTTTTATTCATCCTTGTGCGGAACTTTGTCCTCTGCATTTGACCCATCCTTCACTGCTACTAGGACTTCTGTCAGGAGCAGAGGTCTCCATACTGCGCCCAGGGACCCATCTTCTCTAGATCTTGTTGGTCCGGACTAGCGGGGGCTGGAGGATTTACCTAATGTGCATGTTTTTAGTGGTAGGGAAAACCGGAGCACCCAGAGGAAACCTACACAGACATGGGGAGCACATGCAAACTCCAGTCATTGCAAGTGATGTGAAACTGCTATCAACACAGCGGGTTTTACAGAGATGGGGATATAATCTTTGGATGGAGGAGGATGGGCAGTATTTGGTTTTATTGGTGGAAAAACTTTGAAGAACAAAACATTTTTAATTTGAATTTAAAAGGAGAAAATAAAAATAGGATGCTATGAATGTCTGGTTTATTGTCTGACAATTCCCATGATTATTTCCAACCCCCAAACCACATCCCTGTAACCTACCAAATGGCGATGAGGAAGTCGTCTGGCAAATCCAAGGGCTGTTCTGACATCTAGAGGCCACTTAAGGTACTACAAATATCAGACAACTACAACAGTGATTTTTATTGGAATATTTGAAGATTTTTCATGAGAAGAAAGATATGTTAGTTCTGATACATTGATGATAAATATAGTACACGTAAATGTTATGCCAAAACACTTATACAGGCTATTGCGAGGGCTGTAACAAAATGGTCTGAAAAATTGTCAAATTCTATTCATTTTATAGATTTAAAGGAGCATTATGTAAAAATCTGGCCAAAAGTGGTACTGCAGTCACAGTCAATATTTTGTAGTCCTCTCCCACTCTCCCTGACTCAGGTTGCCAGATACACACCTTTGTCTGTCTCTCACATTGCCATGAGCCGTGCTAATGTTGACTGAATGTTTTGAATGAACTTTTTTTTATTTGGACATTTGAGATGAGAAAAACAAAATGAAAGCAATGTAATTATACATAGATTATGCAAAATAAATAAGCAATTGATGTCCAAAATAGGAGTGGGAAGAATGGATGTTGGAACATATTTCTTCAGCGTATCAACATCAGGGTTTGCTCCAGAGGATGTCACCTTTACATTTTATTTATTCCCTATTTTTTCGACAAGTCCCACATCAAATAGAGACTAACATTATTTTAATTGTGTACATGTGGTCTCAAATGATTCAATTAAGCTTTAATCTGCAAATAACGGCTTTTTTTGTTTTAACCTTTTACCGTTTCTGCGCAATCTGTCATAGAATAAATCATTTATAGTTTAATCCAAATCATATCTCGCCCGAATTCGAACCCAGGCCACTGGTGCACCAGCGCAATGATTTAACCATTTGACCACTGTCAATGAAGCACACTCCCAACGCAGCAAGTTTTGCATCACGGAAAGTTTTTGTCCGTCTTCAATTGTCTCCATTTTTCAAAGGCGTCCCGATATAAATCCTTGTTTTAGTCTTTGTTTTGTCACTACTGATTTGAGAGTCATAACAAGACCTTTTATAGTTCTGCGGCCACATGTTCTTTCAGCAGTGAGATTAGCTCATGGATTAGCTAGCCGCGGGGAGTTCTGGCAACCCGGATCTTGGACTTTCTGATTGGCGAAACGGCAAAGGGTGGGACATCGAAATGAAAACAATAACAACTTTTACGGGTCGTAAAACTAATTTTGATAATCAAATATCTCTGAACTACATCAGTTAAAGATGTGTTCGAAAAGAGCATGATTTAAAAACGCCTTTTGAAATATTGGGGCCATTTAATGATGACTTGACATGCAAATATTACATAATGCTACTTTAAATAATCAAACGAGCCTGAGTATAGTTTCTTATACATCCTCACGTGTAAAACAGTTTAAAGGTACATTTCACTATGCCTCAATGTTGAGCTTTAATCACTGAAGTTACCTACAAAAGGTAGTGAGAGAAAAGTCCTTTGACGTTGCATTGTTTTCGTCGACTGTGGTACAAAAAATTAGACCTATTTTTATTAGCAAACCTTCAAAAAAAAGTTGAGAGATTATCAATACTTTGACGCTGATGCATCAAGTGTTACATAAAAAGTGAGATTGTAAAAAGTGGCTGGTTCGTGGAGGAGGACCTGGAGGATCCACTTCTATGGCTGACCTCTGACGTTGTTGCCTCCGGGGCTGATGGTCATAGACTCCAGGAAAGGACGGAGAGCCTGCCCGAACGGCCTGGAAACAAAAGCACAAGTTAAGTAAGGGATAATGTATAATACGCAGGTCTTTATCGGAAAATAAGTACCAATAGGGCGAAGCGGACCCAGACGCGCAGCGACACATAATCCCTTACTTAAATCGCATCAGCAGTTATCTAGGACTTTACAGAGCTGTCGATTCACCATCACAGATCAAAGAATCAAAACGATCAAACACAAAAAATGCAATGAGAAAAAACACATAGAATAAAATAAAATAATGGCTCTATTTTATTTCTATTTCATTTTATTTCATTCTTAATCTTATTTTAATTATATTGTGTATAATCTTAAATAATAGACTGTTTGATGTGTGCAATCTGAGTGCTCTTAGTCCTTCTTTCTCTGCTGTAATGTGCAACGATGACACTGTAATTTCTCCACTGTGGGGACCAATAAAGGAATATCTTATCTTAGAAAATTCAAACATGCATTTGTTAAGGCTGTTGTAACAGATCAGCAAATGAAAAGTCAAACGACTCTGGAGAACTGCTCACAGACTGAACTCACGTGGACATGACTTCAGATGGAAGGTCCGTTACATAAGACGGGATTTTCTGTCCGGTCAGAAACTGCGCCACTTCATTGCTGAATGTGTTGCAGTTGTGGTCCAATAAGTGGTATTTGTCGCCGCTGTAAAAGAAACATTTATCAGTGTTGTAAATAATACATCTTTGACACAAGGATTCTGAAACCACTAGAACTCCCAGAGCCGTCATTTTGACTGCTCCCATTCAAACCAATGTATTTATTTTTTTACTGAAATACAGCAAAAAAGACTAATGCTAAATTCTGACACTAAACTGTGTGTTTCTATGGTAACGAACACGTTATAGTCTCTGATAATGAGTTAAAGTTATCTCCTCACATTTCAAAAATAATGACAAAGAAATAAACAACAGATAGAAACAGAAATTAGGTAATTACACAAAAGCTAAAACTAAACTAAAAGCTGACAAGTTGACTGCTCTGAGAGATCTGGTGTTAAAAACATTTGAAACGAATATCGTTATTAAATATTGTAATAGACCTAAAAGTGGATTCTCCCAGAGAACTTAAGTACTCCATAAAGACTTCCTCCGGCACTTCAGTGGATCCCAGGTCCACGGTTGAATCTGGTGGTCCTAAAATAGTATTACCCTAATAAAAAACACACAGATGTCATTCAGGATACTATGATGTCATCTGAAATTCCATACTAAACCTGGCACTTACAGGAGGACAGTGATTTATTCCGTCTCCTCCAAAGAAGAACTCCTTCCCATGAACAACAATGGCAGTGTGCCTTTTCAAATGACAATGAAAAGGTCCATCATTATATTGACGAATGGAGACTTCTTTCAAGAGTGAAATCGATCATATACTCACCATACACCATCAATTTGTTTCCTGAGATCAGAAGAAGAAACAAACCATAAGTGAACATGTTAAAGACAATAGTGAATGAATAGTTAGATCATAAACTCCAACAAAACCGATCATGACAGGACTCAGCTGCCGAGCCATTCCTTTGGTCACGTCATAAATGAACACTTTTACCGGGTACACTCCCGTTTGCTCCATGGAGAGGACGGATCACTACAGTCCGGGAAGCTGGATGTAGATGAAGGTTAGCTGTGTTAGCTAAATAAATGAGTAATTAAAGCTTAAGAATATAACAAAGAAAAGCGAAAGTTAAAATTAAAATAAAAAATGCCTGTCCCCCGCAAAGAGAAGTCCGGTTGTTAGACAGAGTGTTAGCGAAGCACAGAAGAAGCTCAAATGCTGTGTCACTCACTGTAAACAATAGTTTGCCTGTCAAAAGTGCATCCTCATGGGCCACTTTGTTTTTCCTGTTTCCAGCCCCAAGCCCCGCCTCTACTTGGCTCCAATTGGTCAATACTAATGATTGACATGTGTACGTAGTTGCATCTTCCGTGTTGTGGATTTGAGCGTGCGCGTTCACGCTTTGTGCGCGCCATAGAAACTTGCCCGGACTTAGCACGCTCCCTCACCCTGTGGTTGGTAACTATCCTGTTATAAAACTAAACCTTCTGATAATAAACATAAACATAAACATGGAGTGGACTGCATCAAACCGACCCCTGTCTGGGGCGATTTACCTTCACTAACAACTCTCTGAAGCATCTCTTGCTAAGCTAACTACTGTGATTGTTGTGTTGCACTGACGCATAATTCGCTGTTGTGCTCGTATGAAACACCTTCAACAACAGTTTAACCATGTTTAAAGTTTGTTTTAACGCAGGACAATGGCAGAATGGAACGACTTCCACAAAGGCGAGGAGGATGAATGAAGAGCAGGAGGGTGGAGAGCTGGATGGAGGTACTACAACTGATAATAATCACATTTATTCAATAGTTGTATTCTGTTAGTCTTTTTTTCTTCTTTTTTTTATATTGTATTTATTTCGAGCAAGTAAGTGAACATAGAAGTAATTAGCACAAATGAATCACAAGCAACGTAGATACATTTACAAAAGACAACAAACAGAGTAATGCCAAAGAGTAAATCATACAAACATAAGACTTATGGATGCTCTAAAAAGAGTGGGAAGAAGTAAACACTTATTTAATCCCACCCCTAATTACTTCAGTCATTACAAAGGTAAAGTAAAGGCTTCCTATTGGCTCCACGTAAATTTAGCACAGATTGCAATATCTTAAACATCTGGATCATAAGCAAAAATAAGTTTTGAAAATGTCAACAAAGGACAAATGTAAGTCCTACGAGGAAAGACAACTGCATGCAAAAAATAACAAAAAATACCAAGAATGGTAATGAACAGCAAATACAAAGATCCATACTCCAAAAATGTAAGTAACACGAACAAGTACATGCCAACATGAGTCGAGGGAAAAGCTACATAGAAAGGTCATGTTCTCTCTGTATTCAGACCAGACATTGTTTTTTAAATAATGACTTTAATCTATTAGAATATTAGTCTGTTTCTGTATTATTCTCAGTTTTTGTTTTGTATTATAGTATAAAAAGCGATCTAAGCTGGGACGTTTTGGTGAGCCTGTGTATTTACTATTTTGAGAAAATGAATATAGGTTTCTTTGCACTGTATGTTTTAGGAGACTACAAGACGACTGGCAGAGACAGTCTGGTGTTTCTAGTCGATGGCCTCAAAGGAAATGTTTATTAAAGGAGAAGATGGAGAAACCCTCAAACTTTGACATGACTATGCAGGTGATTTTCAGCCCAAGATATACCAGTAATTATCATTCTAGATGATGGTGTGTTAGCTACCAAATGTGTCCATGTTTAGGTGGTGCGGAGTGTCTACACCCAGTAAGATCATCAGCAGCTTACAGAGATCTGATAGCTCTGGTTTTCACTAACTACGGCACGGAACAGAGCAAGAACCCCACAAACTCCTTCAAGAACGTCTATGTGTACCATGATCTCGACGAGCCCGGTACTTCCACCCCACTACGAAGTCTCAGAGGAGTCAGAATAATGCAATCACATCTTTACAACCCATATTGCTATATTATTGTTTTTCTTATTCACTCACAGACCATAAATTCCGCTGTAATCACTGCTTATGTTCCTGGTGCCAAGCGGGTGCAGGAGGTGGATGCTCTGCGTGGGTCTAAAGGGGCGGAGCTGGCAGCTGAGACCATGGGCAGTGGGGAGACCTCTCTGGGTGCCGCCTTGTGGTGTTGTGCCAATCTGTACAGCGACATCAAACTGCGGCTGTCCCACAAGCGCCTCATGCTCTTCACCTGCAGAGACGACCCACACGGAGGGACAGTGCCAAGGACCGAACAAGCCCGCACCAAAGCCGGAGACCTCAAAGAGACCGGTGTGTAGCGCTCAGTCACAGTTCAGTGCTTTTTATCTATTGATGTATTGTTTATGTAGCGCAATATTGTGGTATCTCTTGTAAATTGTGAGGGACCCTCAGATTCCCTGCCCTCAGTGTTTTTGATTTTCACGGTTGATAACCTAAAATATCAATTGACAGTGGCTCAGTTTGTAGAGAGCATTGGCCTTAGAGCCTGAAGGTCGGTGGGTTCGAGCCCAACTCAAGACCTACTTCACGACTCCCACTGATGTCTGCTGTCGTTGTGTCCTTGGGCAAGACACTTAACCCCACTTTGCCTGAAGCCCCCACTGAAAGATCAAGGCCCCTGTGGACTCAGCACCTGCAGGAGGATCAGTGAGGGCTGGTGCTCTGTGTACTGGGTGCAGCTCTGACTGCCACCCCCCGACCCAGAAATGGATTAAGGGGAAGAAAATGGATGAATGGATGGATGGATGGATAACCTAAATTAACACACACTATTGAAAGTTATTTGAAATAGGCAAAAATTGGAGCCCTGAAACTTTATACTGTAAGAGACTGTAATCCATAACCAAAATAAATACAAGAAAAAGATAAGTATTAAAAATGTATAGAAATATTTTGGGCGTCTAAGGATTAAAATAAAAACGTATGACATTCAGACTATATGAGCACACGACAGGTTTCACTTCCTGAAAACCATGTTTATCAAATCAAAAGTTTACACTTATACAGTTTCATTCTGATTAAGTAAAACTTCTTCCTTGTAGGTGTCGTCATTGACTTGATGCATTTGATGAAGCCAGGAGGCTTTGATGTCTCGCTGTTTTTCCGGGACGTCATTAGTCCACCAGAGGACGAGAGCGAGCTGGGGTTGCAGCTGGAGCCTTGTGACAAACTGGACGATCTCCAGAAGAGAGTGAGGGCGAAGGAGCAGAAGAAACGTGCCATGGCCAGGTATATTACTCTGTGAATGTGTATCAAGTGTTCAAATGGTCCTTATTGTGTGGTCATTCATTCATTCACACATATCTATGTTTAGGATCAAGCTGTGTCTTGGGTGGCGAGGTCAAAATAGCGGTGGGGGTTTATGCTACTGCTGTTCAAGCTCGAAAACCTGGAGCCATCAAACTGTACCAAAAAACCAACGAGCAAGTCCGCAGTAAGAGCCGCATCTTCCACACGCAGACCGGGAGTCTCCTGCTGCCCAGTGAAATAAAGAAGGCCCAGGTACTACATGTTTACTATGTACTGTACCTTTAAGCTGTGGCACTGACCGTTTTTCCTCATTAACAATACATTTATGTGTCCAACAGAAAGAGTTATATCACTACATGCTGTCTTCATCATATTAGAAAACCTTTTTCATAATTTTAAGAAGGATCTTGTGAGTCACTTATTCCTAGGGCTGGGTATCTTTCAGAGCCTGTAGATACAATATATACAAAGAGAGAGTGAGAGAGACCAGAGTGAGGGAGACCAGAGTGAGGGAGACCAGAGTGAGAGAGACCAGAGTGAGAGAGACCAGAGTGAGAGAGACCAGAGTGAGAGAGACCAGAGTGAGAGAGACCAGAGTGAGAGAGACCAGAGTGAGAGAGACCAGAGTGAGAGAGACCAGAGTGAGAGAGACCAGAGTGAGAGAGACCAGAGTGAGAGAGACCAGAGTGAGAGAGACCAGAGTGAGAGAGACCAGAGTGAGAGAGACCGGAGTGAGAGAGACCAGAGTGAGAGAGACCAGAGTGAGAGAGACCAGAGTGAGAGAGACCAGAGTGAGAGAGACCAGAGTGAGAGAGACCAGAGTGAGAGAGACCAGAGTGAGAGAGACCAGAGTGAGAGAGACCAGAGTGAGAGAGACCAGAGAGTGCTGACCTAATCACGGGACTATAGACATTGTGCACACTGTTAAAAAGCAAACACAAAAATCAGAGAAACGGCCATGTTTCAGCCGAGCAGACAGACGTCTGGGAAAATGTACATATAAAAGCTATAAAATACGAAATGGATGTTGTATGTAATTTAGAAGTATCAATATCTAAAGTGAAATATCAAACACAATGAAAGCTGATTGGCTGAACAAGAGTGGTCCTATTTTTTCTGTCTGAAAAAGTATGACTAAAGAATTGACAGTGGCCAAAGACACAGTGGAGACTAGTGATGGAGCAAAACTATTTTAAGAACAAGAAACTAGTTTGATGAATTTTAAACATTAAAATAATGATGTGGCTTGAAAGTTAGGGACCCCAGCTTTAACTAGTTATTTATGTATGTACAAAAACATGAATTGGTGTTTATTAAGCACTTCTGAGTCCTTTTTCTAAATGGCCTTACTCAACATCTAACTTTCCCATGTGGGTTTGGGTTTGGCTACACTCAGTGGCGGAGCCAGAGGGGTAGCCAGGGTGGCCACTGCCACCTCTAAAAATATCCTTGCCACCCCCAGTGCCCCCCTCGGAAGACGGCAATGTAATAATGTTAATCTTGAGAATCTTCCGCACTTTTTCCGCTAAAAGCTAAAAATTCCCACGGTTTCCCCCGTCTGTGAACGCACCCTGACTCCGTGTGGAGCCGGTGCTGTATGCTAATGTTTGGGTTGTTGGACATGTGCCCAAGTCGTGATGAAAACAAAGAGGTAAGTTAGCGATGCAGAGCCAACGTTTACATTTGACACAAAGTATAGACACACGTACTGCAGCGCATTACTTGTTCAGTTTGTAGAACTTTTAGTGTGTGTATGTGTGTGTGCGTGTGCGTGCCTGTATGCGCGCGTGTGTGCGTGTGTCAGCGTGCCAGTGTGTGTGCGTGCCTGTGTGTGCCAGTGTGGGTCTGCGTGCCTGTGTGTGTGTGCGTGCCTGTGTGCGTGCGGGTGTGCATGCGTGTGTATTCTCCATTATTAATTGCCCATCGTATCATCGCCCTCTTCCCTTTAGTGTAAACATGAAAATAAAAGGAGGAAACATTGTCTACAGGCCTTTTTTTGTTAGGAAAAGGCTGTAGATCAGGATGATGAAACCTCACCTGAAGGTCAGACTCGGAGGCAGTATGTTTTAAGATGATGAGGAATTTGTTGTGTTGTATTAAAATATAGCTTATATAATTGAGTTTCAGAGGATGAGAGGGGAGTTGCAGACAGGTGCAGGATTGTCTATTGGCAGAAAAGGCGTTTTTTCACACACAAAAAAAGAAAACAAATAGCTAAAATGATGGATGATGTGCAGTCGCTTGACCCCAAAATATTTTTGAAAGAAGAGCCCCTGTTTTCATTTGGCAGAACCTTTCAGTCAGATATAGAGGACCTTAAGCATGAGGTACGTCAAACTAGGCGGCTTCTTGGGAGGAATAAATTGATAAGAGAGTCCCTATTGGACTTCCTTGTCCTTTTGGAACGTTTGGAAAGTGTTTCATGAGCTTTTGAGGATTGCAGTACTGTCAGTACTGCGTCGTGTGAAAGAAGTTTCTCTGCCCTAAAACTTATTAAAAACCATCTCAGAACTGTATATGGCAGATGACTGAGTCATCTTGGTGGCCTCAGTGTAGAGTCAAGGAGGGCTGAATATGGATGAGTTTGTCAACATCTTTGCTGCTTTACACCAGAACCGCAGGAATTTGCTAAATTTGTTAAAAGAAAAATGTAATGCAATGTTTGAATGATGTTATTTTGCACTTTTTTGTTCAGACTACTGTTTAAATACACTTTTTTGCTTTGTAGTTTCCAAGTGTGCTCTCAGTTCACTTTATATTAAAAATAATGACAAGATTAAGACTAAAATGTATCGTTTAGCCAGTTTTTGTGTGAAATAAAATTTCGGAATAGTATAAATGTGGACCCCTTAAAAAAACCCTTGCCACCCCCTGGCCACCCTCTGTTTAATTGTCTGGCTCCGCCACTGGCTACACTAGCTAGCACTTAACGTGTTTGTTAGTGGGAGCTAATCTAAAGTGTTACTAACATTTCCTGTCATTCTAGGTGTACGGGAAAAAGCAGATTGTGCTTGAGAAAGACGAAGTGGACTCCTTGAAGAAGTTTGGCGATCCCGAGTTGTACCTGATGGGCTTCAAACCTATGGAAAAGCTCAAAGTGCATCACCACATCCGCCCGTCCGTCTTCATCTACCCAGAGGAGGGCGAAGTCAAAGGTCAGATGCTTTATTGATCCCTGAAGGAGAGATTCAGGATCCAGCAGCAGAATCACATCCTATCATACATCATTCTAATAGTTACCAACATTAGTAATGAAATAAAAATATGGACTAATGTAGATCACCGCAGAAGACGTGGAACAGCCTCCTGGGGCACAATATAACAATAACTCTATACCAAAATAAAATAAAATCTCTAAATTTCACTTGACGAATGTTGTGGGCGAGTCTTTCTGAATGGAGTTTGCGTGTTCTCTCCGTGTCTGCCTAGGTTTCCTCCAATTGCTCCGGTTTCCCCTACCACTAAAAACATGCACACTAGGTAAAATCCTTCAGCTCCGGTCCTGACCAAACTGAGTACCAACAACTGGAGATGGGTTCCCGAGCGCTGTTGCTACGGTGACCTCTGCTGACGAAAGCCTTAGTGGCATCAGGATGGGTCAAATGTTGAGGATGAATTTTTCTACCAGGACAAGTGCACATTTACATTGTACGTTTACATAAAAAAGAAGCAAGCATAAAATCTCTGACATTAGTATAATAAAGAAGCAAACTATAAAATCCTGTATATTCCAGTGAAAGACGTGTATATATTGTTGTATGTTTACACCAAGCCCTGGTATTCCAAGATGGCGTCCTTTCAAATCATGCGCTCAGTAGCGCATGGGACATACACAGGGACTGAAAGCTTAGCGGAACCTATTTGGGCATCGTCTGGTCCTCCTGGTTCTGCGCAGTGGACGAGCTCCCATGATACTTTGCGCCAAATACGCGTGTGTGGCTCTCATGCACGTGCACAGACCAATCAGAGCTGCTGATCAGAGGGGAGAGAAAAACTTGTAATTGCTTATTATTGTTTAACGGTTGTGTTTTTCCACGACTGCAGGGAGCTCGTGTCTGTTCTCCGCTCTCCTGAAGAAGTGCACAGAGAAGGGCGTGTTTGCCCCTGTGCCGCTGCATCGCTCGCCGGAACAGCCCCCCGCGCTTTGTGGCCCTAGTGCCCCAAGAGGAGGAGCTGGACCAGGGCCACGTCCAAGTCACACCTCCAGGTCAGGAACTGGCCGTAATAATGAACTTCTATCTGCTGCATTAGACTCTGACCACATTCGGGCGGCACGGTGCGGCAGTGGTCAGCTCCTGCCCTACTGCCGCCCCGTAAAAACACGTTTGCCTCACCATTGTAGACGATGAACATTATGTTTAACAGAAAGACCAACACTTGTTTGATGGTCAGTGGTATCAATAGAGAGGCACGTGGGCGATCAGGTTTTTCCTTTAATAACAAAACATTGGACATGTTAGTGTCATATGAACCAACTCGGAGGCAAAAGAAAATCACCTCAGACCCTTCTCATGTCCTTTACTCTCAATATGAGGTCCTCCCATCAGGCCGTCGCTACAGAGTACCAACTAGGAATAAAAGATATTTAAACCGGTACAAGAACTCGTTCCTACCCAGAAGAACCTCCTGAAGGCCATCGAGCAGAGCGGTGATGGTTCATGTCTGTGTCCTTGTGTTGTGTTTTATGTGTTATGTGCATTTTCAATGTAGCAACTTTGAGTCAAAGACAAATTTTCTTGGGTACATGATAAATTAATCTTGAATCTTGAAAATGAACCAACTCTGACTTAGAGGAGCACAGGGACTGGCCTCCGGCTGGTCCCAGAGTCAGAACTAAACATAACATGGGGAGGCAGCATTCCAGATTTATGCAGCTAAAATCTGGAACGGTCTTCCTGAACATATGAGACCGGCTTCTTCTCTGACAATGTTCAAATCCAAGTTCAATGTATATAAATAAAGCTTACTTACATCCACTCTTTTTTGTCCATAAACCAGGATTCAATGTCATCTATTTGCCGTTTGCCGATGACGTGCGGACCCTGGACCCCCCTCAGAGCCCGTGTGCCTCTCAAACTCAGGTGGATAAGATGAAGGAGATCATCACCAAACTTCGCTTCAAATACAGGTACTTTCTAAAAACTGTGTCAAAGGCTGCTTTTACATCGGACATTTCATAGATACATTCCCAAAACCTGCGCACTACATAAGGACGCAATTCATTTTCTTTAAAAAAATGTAGGGTGGTGCTGATGCTCTCCCTGTGTCGTCTATTGAGGACGGTACAGGCCTGAGAACTGATGTAGAGCAGTATTATCCACATGTACGTGTTTGTCCCATAGATGGTAAATATTAACAGACGTAGTCACGCCTATCTCTACTGTTCGTACTGATGTGCCTCCCCTTTCGCGTCTATGGGCAGTTTCAAAACGACCGTGGGGGCAAGAAAATGTGATAAAACACATTTGTGCATGCATCAGCTGCTCAAGCCCCATTCATTTAACGAGTGCATTCTAAAGTCCACAGCGGCTAAACTAGACTGGTCCAAAAAAATACACTCCCCCTCAGCATCGACCAAGAGCCACTTTTGGCCCATCCTGTAAAGACGTTTTCGAGAAGTAAGAAGACGCTCTATGTTACCATTGAAGAATTCTTATTCCGGGTCCCAAGGTGGTATTGCAGCATGTCAGCATTTCAGACATTTGAATTCGGGCAAAATTGGACATTTCATTTAATCAATAAAATTGACTGTGGGGAGAAGGTACGGGTCAAGTTCGGCAATTCTTAACTCCTCCAAATACTGCTCTTTGTGAGCCCTGACCTGTCCTACTTTCACCAATAACGTAATCAATGTGCTTGAAGCAGCCACTTCTCGTTTTAGGAGAGGAGTCATGTTTTTAAGAGTTGTGTCCGTTTTGCTCTAGCCTCAATGCTAGTTTCCACGACTTCCGCCGTAAGCTCATGCACAATCACGTGGATGACGTCGATGTATCTGGTCAATAGTCCAGAAAATACGGTACTTAAATTGTGCTGTTTCCTTTATTGCAGGAGTGATGCGTTTGAGAATCCGGTCATCCAGCAGCACTACAGAAATCTGGAGGCTCTGGCTTTGGACATGACTGCCCCGGAAGAAACGGAGGATCTCATCTGTAAGGCTCCATCAGATTTTAAAAAAGCAAATAAGTTTCTCTTTTATTCTAAATCTTGTTGCATTATTAGTGCCTAAAGTGGACCAAATGGACCAGCGCCTTGGCATTCTCGCGGATGAGTTCAGACAAATGGTTTACCCAGACCACTACAATCCAGACGCCAAACCAGGAGCAAAACGTAAAACTGGTGAGAACGGCATTTGTCAAAACACTTCTCACAACATGTTTACTGAGGTGGAAGTGGCCAAAATGTGGGGATTCAGTAGTAGTGCAATATTTTGACCACAATTTAATACTATTGTGATTCTTAAAAGACCGCAATACAGACAGTATTGTGATTAATGTCCCTCAAATTATTCAAAGACATCACACAAATTGATTCATTTTATTATTAAGCAGACGTCATAGAGTCACAACAAGCAGACGTCATAGAGTCACAACAAGCAGACGTCATAGTCACAACAAGCAGACGTCATAGTCACAACAAGCAGACGTCATAGTCACAACAAGCAGACATCATAGAGTCACAACAAGCAGACATCATAGTCACAACAAGCAGACATCATAGAGTCACAACAAGCAGACATCATAGAGTCACAACAAGACATCATAGAGTCACAACAAGCAGACGTCATAGTCACAACAAGCAGACATCAGTCACAACAAGACATCATAGAGTCACAACAAGACATCATAGAGTCACAAGACATCATAGAGTCACAACAAGACATCATAGAGTCACAACAAGACATCAGAGTCACGACAAGCAGACGTCATAGAGTCACGACAAGCAGACGTCATAGAGTCACGACAAGCAGACGTCATAGAGTCACGACAAGCAGACGTCATAGAGTCACGACAAGCAGACGTCATAGAGTCACGACAAGCAGACGTCATAGAGTCACGACAAGCAGACGTCATAGAGTCACGACAAGCAGACGTCATAGAGTCACGACAAGCAGACGTCATAGAGTCACGACAAGCAGACGTCATAGAGTCACGACAAGCAGACGTCATAGAGTCACGACAAGCAGACGTCATAGTCACAAGCAGACGTCATAGAGTCACGACAAGCAGACGTCATAGTCACAAGCAGACGTCATAGAGTCACGACAAGCAGACGTCATAGAGTCACGACAAGCAGACGTCATAGAGTCACGACAAGCAGACATCATAGTCACAAGCAGACGTCATAGAGTCACGACAAGCAGACGTCATAGAGTCACGACAAGCAGACGTCATAGAGTCACAACAAGCAGACGTCATAGAGTCACAACAAGCAGACATCATAGAGTCACAACAAGCAGACGTCATAGAGTCACAACAAGCAGACGTCATAGAGTCACACACACCTCGGATGGACCCGAGGAAACTCAGAGAAAACACAAAAGTCAAACAGATAATTATTTAATCATATTATCACAATGCCTTGCTCTACTGTGTTGATTTAATTACATGCACAAAAACATTGCATTCTGAACATAATAGATTTTTTCCCACCACTACATACTGTGTATTATCTTCTGAAATGTCTCCTGGTGCTGCAGAGACCAACGGCGGTGGAGCTGAGAAGAAACCCAAAGTCGAGGTTCCGGAGGACGAACTCCGAGCCCACGCCACGAATGGGACCCTGGGAAAGCTAACCGTGCCTGTGCTGAAGGACGCATGCAAACAGTTTGGGATCCGCACCACAGGAACCAAGAAGCAGGACCTCGTAGACGCTTTATTAGCCAAGCTGGGTCCTTGAGGAACTGAACAAAACACTCCACTGTGTGTCTCCAGGCTGAAATTATTATTGTGCGTCACCTCTACTTGTCAAATAAATCCAAATGTTTTGTATAATCCACAGTGTGTCTTAAAGGAGCAGTATGTAAAAATGTGGCCAAAAGTGGTACTGCAGCCTCTCCCACTCTCCCTGACTCAGGTTGCCAGATATGCAGACGAATCCAGCTGGGACCATAACAGCTGAATAAAGAGTTCTGTCAACAGCAAATCTATAACAACACCTTTTTCACAAAGATAGATATCCTGGTTTTATTCCTTGTTTTGTGAATCATAACGAGACCTTTTTTTTGTTATGCAGCCACATGGTACTTTACTTTTAAGGCGGGACATCGAAATGAAAACAAAAACAAGATTGGGCTGGAAAACTAATTTTGAAATCCAAATATCTCTGAACTACTGTCATCAGTTTAAGTAGTATTTGAACAGAACAAGTTTTATTAACGCCTTTTGACAGATTAGGGCCCTTTAATTATGACTTACCATGAAAGTCTCACATCTTGTACTTGAAATGGCTGCAGTACCAGTTCTTCCAGGGGCGTGCCTTTCTGAATAAAGCTGTCATTCCTGCTGCTGTATCTGTGAGCTTCTTAGCATTGTGCTGTTGGAGCAGAGTTCCTGGTGAGGGCAGCGCAGCCACAAACAGCAACACAACAGTCAGAAGGAGGAGATTAGACATAACAGCTCTCGCCGCATGACTTGCAATTCAACTATTAGTTAGTTTGGATTCAGCACAACAGGTATGAGACTGAACTGTACTGACCTGGACTAGGACACAGCTGAAGGAATTGCACTTGTAGTTATACATTGACAGTTTCGCTGCTTTAACCCTACAATGGTTTCCTCAATCATTTGGTGGACCACTTTTTGACCCACTATACTTTTTTTTTTGACCCACTTGGAGCATGCTGAGTGAAACACTGACATACAGGCACTTTTCAACAACATTTATGGACATTGGTCTCTGCCCCTTTTGGACCAATGTCTGTTTTTTTTATCCTTACATTTCTGTTTGATTCTCTGATGTGTGTCTGCAAATTCAACAGTTCTGTAAAGAGAAAAAAACTTGCGATTTAGGACTAAAATAAAAAACTAGGGGTTGAAATGTCTTAGGGCAAAAATGGCATTGCTTTCTTCGAGGAGGTAACACCAAAGGGTTAATGAAGGAATGAAGGTGTATGTGGTTACAAACTAATCTAATTGTGTTGTGTTGTGTGCATTATGAAGCAGAGTGGTGTGTTGTGTGTATTATGAAGCAGAGTGGTGTGTTGTGTGTATTATGAAGCAGAGTGTTGTGTTGTGTGTATTATGAAGCAGAGTGGGTTGTGTTGTGTGTATTATGAAGCAGAGTGTTGTGTTGTGTGTATTATGAAGCAGAGTGGGTTGTGTTGTGTGTATTATGAAGCAGTGTGTTGTGTTGTGTGTATTATGAAGCAGAGTGTGTTGTGTGTATTATGAAGCAGAGTGTGTGGTGTTGTGTGTATTATGAAGCAGAGTGTGTTGTGTTGTGTGTATTATGAAGCAGAGTGGGTTGTGTTGTGTTGTGTGCATTATGAAGCAGAGTGTGTTGTGTTGTGTGCATTATGAAGCAGAGTGGTGTGTTGTGTGTATTATGAAGCAGAGTGTTGTGTTGTGTGTATTATGAAGCAGAGTGGGTTGTGTTGTGTGTATTATGAAGCAGAGTGTGTTGTGTGTATTATGAAGCAGAGTGTGTGGTGTTGTGTGTATTATGAAGCAGAGTGTGTTGTGTTGTGTGTATTATGAAGCAGAGTGGGTTGTGTTGTGTTTATGTGTGCATTATGAAGCAGAGTGTGTTGTGTGTATTATGAAGCAGAGTGTGTGGTGTTGTGTGTATTATGAAGCAGAGTGTGTTGTGTTGTGTGTATTATGAAGCAGAGTGTGTTGTGTGTATTATGAAGCAGAGTGTGTGGTGTTGTGTGTATTATGAAGCAGAGTGGGTTGTGTTGTGTTGTGTGCATTATGAAGCAGAGTGTGTTGTGTGTATTATGAAGCAGAGTGTGTTGTGTGTATTATGAAGCAGAGTGTGTTTGTGTTGTGTGCATTATGAAGCAGAGTGTGTTGTGTTGTGTGCATTATGAAGCAGAGTGGGTTGTGTTGTGTGCATTATGAAGCAGAGTGTGTTGTGTTTGTGTGCATTATGAAGCAGAGTGTGTTGTGTTGTGTGCATTATGAAGCAGAGTGGGTTGTATGTGTATTTGTGTGTATTATGAAGCAGAGTGTTGTGTTGTGTGTATTATGAAGCACTGTGTGTTGTGTTGTGTAGCATTATGAAGCACTGTGTGTTGTGTTGTGTGTATTATGAAGCAGAGTGTTGTGTTGTGTGTATTATGAAGCACTGTGTGTTGTGTTGTGTATGAAGCAGAGTGTTGAGTGTGTATTAAGAAGCAGAGTGTTGTTGTGTTGTGTTGTCTTCCTCTTAAAGCCAAACCAAAGTGTTTTTTTAAAGGTCTGATCGAAAGCCGAGACATGGAGTGCAAATGTGACTCTGACGATGCAGCTTCAGGCAAGTCTCATGAAGCAAAACAAGAAGTCTTTTCTCCTCGGTCTCAATGATTAGAAGAAATGTGTTGTAGCTATTTTGACGTGTTCGGGCAGATAACACCCAATTATTGATCTTTGGTTCATTTAGAACTCAGCCGACACTTTCTGGGCTTTGATGGGTTTATATTGCATTCTTCTTACAAACATAAATAACAAAAGTATCAAAGTTTTCTTTATCTTATTATCTTAAAAAGTTCATGTTTGTTCCATCTCACTACTCACTGCAAATCTTATTAGAAAAAAGAAGTTGTTTTGTGGCATACTTGTGAGGAAGAGCCCTGTGAGTCACTATTTGACAGTTTGGGCTCTGATTGGCTGAGTGAGGTCATGTGGTTTACTGCCTGAAAAAAACTAAACTGTGTGATAGAGACCAAAAAAAAGTTGATAGGATTTTATTAAATATTTGTTTACAGTTTGAAAGTTATATATCACACAAAAATACAATCTTTAAATGCAAAATACCGGTGTAATTATTTGTTGTTTGTTTACATTGATTAATTAACTGATTTTATTCATTCACGTATTTACAATATTTACATTCCCTAGACTGTCTTCACATTACTGTAATTTCCAGATTATAAAATGCCACTTTTTCTAGTTCCTTGATCCCTGCGGCTTATATAGCAATGCGGCTTATATGCGTTTTTTTTTTAATAATGGTGGAGTTTCTGGACTTATTCTTTTGACTCCATCAAGTTTTAGAAGCTAATGTCAAAGCAGATGAAAGTGAATTAGCCGTGGAAGCTAAACGGTAAAACTGAACACCACGTCATTAAGTCATGTGTCCACTTCAAGCTGTTGTCTCTCTGCTGCATTACAACATGAACCTCGCGCTTATATTCAGGTGCACCTTATAGTCCAGAGAGTACAGCAGCATAGGTCAGATGTAGCACCCCTGTCCAGCTTTAGTGGTGCTAATGTCCTAATCTCATGCCTCTCTCCTCTCTCTTCTACCCCACTCTCTGCTACCCTCACCTCTCTTACCCTCTCTCTCCTCTCTTCTTCGCTCTCCTCTTGTCTCCTTTCTCTCTCCTACCCTCTCTTTCCTCCCCCTCCCTCTCCTCTCCCCTCTCCTCTTCTTGCCTTTCCTCCTACCCCTCATTGCTTTTCTCTCCTCTCCTCTACTCCCCTCTATCCTACCCCTCTCTCCTCTCTCCCCTCCCTCTCCTCTCTCCCCTCTCCTCTCCCCTTCCTCTCCTCTCTCCTCTTCCTCCCTTCTCTCCCCTCTCCCATTCCTCTCCTCTCTCCACTTCCTCTCCTCTCTCTCCCCTCTCCCTCTCTCTCCCCCTCACCTGTTCCTCTCCTCTCTCCCCTCTCTCTCCCCTTCCCTCTCCTCTCTCCCCTCCTTTCTCCCTCTCTCTCTCCCCTCTCCCCTTCCTCTCCTCTCTCCCCTCTCTCCCCTCTCTCCTCTCCTCCCCTTCCTCTCCTCTCGTCCCCTCTCTCCTCTCCCATCTCCCGTTCCTCTCCTCTCTCCCCCCCTCTCCCTCTCTCTCTCTCCTCTCCTCTCTCTCCTCTCTCCCACCTCTCCTCCTCTCTCCCTCTCTCTCTCCCCTTCCTCTCCTCTCCCCTCTCCTCTCTCCTCCAGGATGGCTGAGCAGTGGTAACCGCAGATGGGGGCTCTCACTGGTGGTGGGGTATGTCTTCTACAGATTCTCCCAAAGTCAGTCTCGTTACATTCACCCTACAGTAAGTTACAGTTGTTAAAAGTCTTGGCTCAGTGTGGACCTCTTGTGCAGCTCTCCCCGCTCTGATCAGATGGCGAATCCGCCTCTTCTGCTCTTTAACTGGTAAGAAAGTCTCACCGAGGGTCCACGGTGACAAATATCTATGAAGTAAAACACAGGTATGGGACAAAGTGTGGCCCTCGGATCATTCTGTCTCCCCATAGACTCTATTTATTCATCATTGTCTTCCGCCCATTTAATGAACGGGAATCACTGTAAATGTTGCACCTTAATGAGTGCTATTAGGGCTTGCAGATAATTAATTCAACAACTCTTATCTGTCCCCGATACTTAGTCTTCTTCAGCTTTAGTTCAGTTTTGGTTCAGTCCAAGCATGAATTTAAATCTAAAGACAGGTGAAAAATACAATTGAAATGTGATAAATAATAATTTCCTCAAGATATTTGGTCTTAATGTAAAAGGTTAAAACAAAAATCTAGCTGCAGAATGGCAAAATATCAGATTTCACACAAACAATGCAGTTAACAATCATAAAGTGAACACATTACTCAGTGATCAAACGTTAAAAAATCAATAGAATATCAGATTAATCCGACACAGTGGATTACTTTAAAGCTTGTATTTGTCACATGTCCCTACTGTATCATTGGTTGTATACTAAGAAATTTTTTGATTTTACCCACACTTTCCAAATTACTACCAAATAATGTTTGAATATATTGTACAATATTTAGTGGCCACACACTGCAGTGTGAAGTCAGATCCCTCAGAACTCTGAATCTAAGCAGACAGGGCTGGTGTTAATACTGTGATGGGAGACCTCTGGGAACACCAGATGCCACAGTGTGGGCAACGTTGCCCACACTGTGGCATCTGGTGTTCCCAGAGGTCTCCCATCACAGTATTAACACCAGCCCTGTCTGCTTAGATTCAGAGTTCTGAGGGATCTGACTTCACACTGCAGTGTGTGGCCACTAAATATTGTACAATATATTCAAACATTATTTGGTAGTAATTTGGAAAGTGTGGGTAAAATCAAAAAATTTCTTATATAACACAATGATACAGTAGGGACATGTGACAAATACAAGCTTTAAAGTAATCCACTGTGTCGGATTAATCTGATATTCTATTGATTTTTTAACGTTTGATCACTGAGTAATGTGTTCACTTTATGATTGTTAACTGCATTGTTTGTGTGAAATCTGATATTTTGCAATCTGCAGCTAGATTTTTGTTTTAACCTTTTACATTAAGACCAAATATCTTGAGGAAATTATTATTTATCACATTTCAATTGTATTTTTCACCTGTCTTTAGATTTAAATTTCATGCTTGGACTGAACCAAAACTGAACTAAAGCTGAAGAAGACTAAGTGATCGGGGACAGATAAGAGTTGTTGAATTAATTATCAGCAAGCCCTAATAGCACTCATTAAGGTGCAACATTTACAGTGATTCCTTCATTATAAATGGGCCGGAGACAATGATGAATAAATAGAGTCTATGGGGAGACAGAATGATCCGAGGGCCACACTTTGTCCCATACCTGTGTTTTACTTCATAGATATTTGTTCACCGTGGACCCTCCGGTGAGACTTTACTTACCAGTTAAAGAGCAGAAGAGGCGGATTCGCCATCTGTATCAGAGCGGGGAGAGCTGCACAAAGAGGTCCACACTGAGCCAAGACTTTTAACAACTGTAACTTACTGTAGGTGTGAATGTAACGAGACTGACTTTGGGAGAACCTGTAGAAGACATACCCCACCACAGTGAGAGCCCCCATCTGGCAGTTACCACTGCTCAGCCATCCTGGAGAGAGGAGAGGGGAGAGGAGAGGAAGGGGAGAGAGAGGGAGAGAGGAGAGAGGTGGGAGAGAGGAGAGAGAGAGAGGGATGAGAGAGAGGGTAAGAGGGGGGAGAGAGGAGAGGAACGGGAGAGGTGAGGGTAGAGAGGGGAGAGAGAGGAGAGGAAGGGATGGAGGAGAGAGGAGAGAGGGGAGAAGAGGAGAGGAAGGGGAGAGGGGAGAGAGAGAGGGAGAAGGAGGGAGAGAGAGGAAGGAATGGGAGAGAGAGGGAGAGAGGGAGGAACAGGTGAGGGGAGGAGAGAGGGAGAGGGCGAGAGAGAGAGGAGGAGATAGTGGAGAGAGGAGTATGGGAGAGGGGAGAGAGGAGAGGAAAGGGAGAGAGGAGAGGAAGGGGAGAGGAGAGGGGAAGAGGAGAGTGAGGGGAGAGAGGAGAGAGGGTAGGATAGAGGGGAGTAGAGGAGAGGAGAGAAACAAGCAAGAGGGTAGGAGAGAAGGCAAGAAGAGGAGGGAGAGGAGAAGGAGGGGAGGAAAGAGAGGGTAGGAGAGAGAAAGGAGACAAGAGGAGAGCGAAGAAGAGAGGAGAGAGGGAGGTAAGAGAGGTGAGAGGTAGCAGAGAGTGGGGTAAGAAGAGAGAGGAGAGAGGCATGAGATTAGGACATTAGCACACTAAAGCTGGACAGGGGTGTACATCTGACCTATGCTGCTGGACTCTCTGGACTATAAGGTGCACCTGAATAGATGCGCCGAGGTTCATGTTGTACATGACAGCAGAGAGACAACAGCTTGAAGTGGACACAGGACTTAATGACGTGGTTTCAGTTTTACCGTTTAGCTTCCACGGCTAATTCACTTTCATCTGCGTTGGACATTAGCTTCTAAAACTTGATGGAGTCAAAAGAATAATGCCAGAAACTCCACCATTATTAAAAAAAAAACAAAATACGCATATAAGCCGCATTGCTATATAAGCCCAGGGATCAAGGAACTAGAAAAAGTGGCATTTTATAATCTGGAAATTACAGTAATGTATGGAAGACAGTCTAGGGAATGTAAATATTGTAAATACGTGACTGAATAAACTCTTGTTAATTAATCAATGTAAAACAAACAACCACACTAATTACACCAGGTATTTTGCATTTTACCGATTGTATTTTTGTGTGTGTATATAACTTTCAAACTGTAAACAAATATTTAATAAAATCCTATCAACTTTTTTTGGTCTCTATCACTCAGTTTAGTTTTTTTCAGGCAGTAAACCACATGACCTCACTCAGCCAATCAGAGCCCAAACTGTCAAATCGGTGACTCACAGGGCTCTTCCTCACAAGTATGCCACAAAACAACTTCTTTTTTCTAATAAGATTTGCAGTGAGTAGTGAGATGGAACAAACATGAACTTTTTATGATAATAAGATAAAGAAAACTTTGATACTTTTGTTATTTATGTTTGTAAGAAGAATGCAATATAAACCCATCAAAGCCCAGAAAGTGTCGGCTGAGTTCTAAATGAACCAAAGATCAATAATTGGGTGTTATCTGCCCGAACACGTCAAAATAGCTACAACACATTTCTTCTAATCATTGAGACCGAGGAGAAAAGACTTCTTGTTTTGCTTCATGAGACTTGCCTGAAGCTGCATCGTCAGAGTCACATTTGCACTCCATGTCTCGGCTTTCGATCAGACCTTTAAAAAAACACTTTGGTTTGGCTTTAAGAGGAAGACAACACAACACAACACACTCTGCTTCATAATACACACACAACACACAGTGCTTCATAATACACACAACACAACACTCTGCTTCATAATACACACAACACAACACACAGTGCTTCATAATGCACACAACACAACACACAGTGCTTCATAATACACACAACACAACACTCTGCTTCATAATACACACAAATACACATACAACCCACTCTGCTTCATAATGCACACAACACAACACACTCTGCTTCATAATGCACACAACACAACACACTCTGCTTCATAATGCACACAACACAACCCACTCTGCTTCATAATGCACACAACACAACACACTCTGCTTCATAATGCACACAACACAACACACTCTGCTTCATAATACACACAACACACTCTGCTTCATAATACACACAACACACTCTGCTTCATAATGCACACAACACAACACAACCCACTCTGCTTCATAATACACACAACACCACACACTCTGCTTCATAATACACACAACACACTCTGCTTCATAATACACACAACACCACACACTCTGCTTCATAATACATACAACACCACAACACTCTGCTTCATAATACACACAACACACTCTGCTTCATAATGCACACAAGCCACAACACAACCCACTCTGCTTCATAATACACACAACACAACACACTCTGCTTCATAATACACACAGGCCACACCACACACTCTGCTGTCATAATACACACAACACACTCTGCTTCATAATACACACAACACAACCCACTCCTGCTTCATAATACACACAACACAACACTCTGCTTCATAATACACACACCCCACACTGCATAATGCACACAACACCACACTCTGCTTCATAATACACACAACACAACACAACCCACTCTGCTTCATAATACACACAACACAACACACTCTGCTTCATAATACACACAACACACACTCTGCTTCATAATACACACAACACACTCTGCTTCATAATACACACAACACAACACACTGCTTCATAATACACACAACACAACCCACTCTGCTTCATAATACACACAACACAACACTCTGCTTCATAATACACACAACACAACCCACTCTGCTTCATAATACACACAACACAACACTCTGCTTCATAATACACACAACACACCACTCTGCTTCATAATACACACAACACACCACTCTGCTTCATAATGCACACACACAACACAATTAGATTAGTTTGTAACCACATACACCTTCATTCCTTCATTAACCCTTTGGTGTTACCTCCTCGAAGAAAGCAATGCCATTTTTGCCCTAAGACATTTCAACCCCTAGTTTTTTATTTTAGTCCTAAATCGCAAGTTTTTTTCTCTTTACAGAACTGTTGAATTTGCAGACACACATCAGAGAATCAAACAGAAATGTAAGGATAAAAAAAAAAACAGACATTGGTCCAAAAGGGGCAGAGACCAATGTCCATAAATGTTGTTGAAAAGTGCCTGTATGTCAGTGTTTTCACTCAGCATGCTCCAAGTGGGTCAAAAAAAAAAGTATAGTGGGTCAAAAAGTGGTCCACCAAATGATTGAGGAAACCATTGTAGGGTTAAAGCAGCGAAACTGTCAATGTATAACTACAAGTGCAATTCCTTCAGCTGTGTCCTAGTCCAGGTTCAGTACAGTTCAGTCTCATACCTGTTGTGCTGAATCCAAACTAACTAATAGTTGAATTGCAAGTCATGCGGCGAGAGCTGTTATGTCTAATCTCCTCCTTCTGACTGTTGTGTTGCTGTTTGTGGCTGCGCTGCCCTCACCAGGAACTCTGCTCCAACAGCACAATGCTAAGAAGCTCACAGATACAGCAGCAGGAATGACAGCTTTATTCAGAAAGGCACGCCCCTGGAAGAACTGGTACTGCAGCCATTTTCAAGTACAAAGATGTGAGACATTTCATGGTAAGTCAATAAATTAAAGGGCCCTAATCTGTCAAAAGGCGTTAATAAAACTTGTTCTGTTCAAATACTACTTAAACTGATGACAGTAGTTCAGAGATATTTGGATTTCAAAATTAGTTTTCCAGCCCAAATCTTGTTTTTTTGTTTTCATTTCGATGTCCCGCCTTAAAAGTAAAGTACCATGTGGCTGCATAACAAAAAAAAGGTCTCGTTATGATTCACAAAACAAGGAATAAAACCAGGATATCTATCTTTGTGAAAAAGGTGTTGTTATAGATTTGCTGTTGACAGAACTCTTTATTCAGCTGTTATGGTCCCAGCTGGATTCGTCTGCATATCTGGCAACCTGAGTCAGGGAGAGTGGGAGAGGCTGCAGTACCACTTTTGGCCACATTTTTACATACTGCTCCTTTAAGACACACTGTGGATTATACAAAACATTTGGATTTATTTGACAAGTAGAGGTGACGCACAATAATAATTTCAGCCTGGAGACACACAGTGGAGTGTTTTGTTCAGTTCCTCAAGGACCCAGCTTGGCTAATAAAGCGTCTACGAGGTCCTGCTTCTTGGTTCCTGTGGTGCGGATCCCAAACTGTTTGCATGCGTCCTTCAGCACAGGCACGGTTAGCTTTCCCAGGGTCCCATTCGTGGCGTGGGCTCGGAGTTCGTCCTCCGGAACCTCGACTTTGGGTTTCTTCTCAGCTCCACCGCCGTTGGTCTCTGCAGCACCAGGAGACATTTCAGAAGATAATACACAGTATGTAGTGGTGGGAAAAAATCTATTATGTTCAGAATGCAATGTTTTGTGCATGTAATTAAATCAACACAGTAGAGCAAGGCATTGTGATAATATGATTAAATAATTATCTGTTTGACTTTTTGTGTTTTCTCTGAGTTTCCTCGGGTCCATCCGAGGTGTGTGTGACTCTATGACGTCTGCTTGTTGTGACTCTATGACGTCTGCTTGTTGTGACTCTATGATGTCTGCTTGTTGTGACTCTATGACGTCTTTTGCTTGTTGTGACTCTATGACGTCTGCTTGTCGTGACTCTATGACGTCTGCTTGTCGTGACTCTATGACGTCTGCTTGTGACTATGATGTCTGCTTGTCGTGACTCTATGACGTCTGCTTGTCGTGACTCTATGACGTCCTGCTTGTCGTGACTCTATGACGTCTGCCTTGTGACTATGACGTCTGCTTGTCGTGACTCTATGACGTCTGCTTGTGACTATGACGTCCGCCATGCTTGTCGTGACTCTATGACGCTGCTTGTCGTGACTCTATGACGTCTGCTTGTCGTGACTCTATGACGTCTGCTTGTCGTGACTCTATGACGTCTGCTTGTCGTGACTCTATTGGACGTCTGCTTGTCGTGACTCTATGACGTCTGCTTGTCGTGACTCTATGACGTCTGCTTGTCGTGACTCTATGACGTCTGCTTGTCGTGACTCTATGACGTCTTGTCGTGACTGACTTGTCGTGACTCTATGACGTCTGCTTGTCGTGACTCTATGACGTCTGCTTGTCGTGACTCTGATGGTCTTGTTGTGACTCTATGATGTCTTGTTGTGACTCTATGATGTCTTGTGACTCTATGATGTCTTGTTGTGACTCTATGATGTCTTGTTGTGACTGATGTCTGCTTGTTGTGACTATGACGTCTGCTTGTTGTGACTCTATGATGTCTTGTTGTGACTCTATGATGTCTGCTTGTTGTGACTCTATGATGTCTGCTTGTTGTGACTATGATGTCTGCTTGTTGTGACTCTATGATGTCTGCTTGTTGTGACTATGACGTCTGCTTGTTGTGACTATGACGTCTGCTTGTTGTGACTATGACGTCTGCTTGTTGTGACTCTATGACGTCTGCTTGTTGTGACTCTATGACGTCTGCTTAATAATAAAATGAATCAATTTGTGTGATGTCTTTGAATAATTTGAGGGACATTAATCACAAATACTGTCTGTATTGCGGTCTTTTAAGAATCACAATAGTATTAAATTGTGGTCAAAATATTGCACTACTACTGAATCCCCACATTTTGGCCACTTCCACCTCAGTAAACATGTTGTGAGAAGTGTTTTGACAAATGCCGTTCTCACCAGTTTTACGTTTTGCTCCTGGTTTGGCGTCTGGATTGTAGTGGTCTGGGTAAACCATTTGTCTGAACTCATCCGCGAGAATGCCAAGGCGCTGGTCCATTTGGTCCACTTTAGGCACTAATAATGCAACAAGATTTAGAATAAAAGAGAAAACTTATTTGCTTTTTTAAAATCTGATGGAGCCTTACAGATGAGAATTGATCCTCCGTTTCTTGGGGCAGTCAGGAAAGCCAGAGCCTCCAGAGTAGTGTCAAAACTAGCAGTTTATTTTTCTGGAGGATACATCGACGTATCCACGTGAGAATTGCAAAGACGGACACAACTCTTAAAAACATGACTCCTCTCCTAAAACGAGAAGTGGCTGCTTCAAGCACATTGATTACGTTATTGGTGAAAGTAGGACAGGTCAGGGCTCACAAAGAGCAGTATTTGGAGGAGTTAAGAATTGCCGAACTTGACCCGTACCTTCTCCCCACAGTCAATTTTATTGATTAAATGAAATGTCCAATTTTGCCCGAATTCAAATGTCTGAAATGCTGACATGCTGCAATACCACCTTGGGACCCGGAATAAGAATTCTTCAATGGTAACATAGAGCGTCTTCTTACTTCTCGAAAACGTCTTTACAGGATGGGCCAAAAGTGGCTCTTGGTCGATGCTGAGGGGGAGTGTATTTTTTTGGACCAGTCTAGTTTAGCCGCTGTGGACTTTAGAATGCACTCGTTAAATGAATGGGGCTTGAGCAGCTGATGCATGCACAAATGTGTTTTATCACATTTTCTTGCCCCCACGGTCGTTTTGAAACTGCCCATAGACGCGAAAGGGGAGGCACATCAGTACGAACAGTAGAGATAGGCGTGACTACGTCTGTTAATATTTACCATCTATGGGACAAACACGTACATGTGGATAATACTGCTCTACATCAGTTCTCAGGCCTGTACCGTCCTCAATAGACGACACAGGGAGAGCATCAGCACCACCTACATTTTTTAAAGAAAATGAATTGCGTCCTTATGTAGTGCGCAGGTTTTGGGAATGTATCTATGAAATGTCCGATGTAAAAGCAGCCTTTGACACAGTTTTTAGAAAGTACCTGTATTTGAAGCGAAGTTTGGTGATGATCTCCTTCATCTTATCCACCTGAGTTTGAGAGGCACACGGGCTCTGAGGGGGGTCCAGGTCCGCACGTCATCGGCAAACGGCAAATAGATGACATTGAATCCTGGTTTATGGACAAAAAAGAGTGGATGTAAGTAAGCTTTATTTATATACATTGAACTTGGATTTGAACATTGTCAGAGAAGAAGCCGGTCTCATATGTTCAGGAAGACCGTTCCAGATTTTAGCTGCATAAATCTGGAATGCTGCCTCCCCATGTTATGTTTAGTTCTGACTCTGGGACCAGCCGGAGGCCAGTCCCTGTGCTCCTCTAAGTCAGAGTTGGTTCATTTTCAAGATTCAAGATTAATTTATCATGTACCCAAGAAAATTTGTCTTTGACTCAAAGTTGCTACATTGAAAATGCACATAACACATAAAACACAACACAAGGACACAGACATGAACCATCACCGCTCTGCTCGATGGCCTTCAGGAGGTTCTTCTGGGTAGGAACGAGTTCTTGTACCGGTTTAAATATCTTTTATTCCTAGTTGGTACTCTGTAGCGACGGCCTGATGGGAGGACCTCATATTGAGAGTAAAGGACATGAGAAGGGTCTGAGGTGATTTTCTTTTGCCTCCGAGTTGGTTCATATGACACTAACATGTCCAATGTTTTGTTATTAAAGGAAAAACCCTGATCGCCCACGTGCCTCTCTATTGATACCACTGACCATCAAACAAGTGTTGGTCTTTCTGTTAAACATAATGTTCATCGTCTACAATGGTGAGGCAAACGTGTTTTTACGGGGCGGCAGTAGGGCAGGAGCTGACCACTGCCGCACCGTGCCGCCCGAATGTGGTCAGAGTCTAATGCAGCAGATAGAAGTTCATTATTACGGCCAGTTCCTGACCTGGAGGTGTGACTTGGACGTGGCCCTGGTCCAGCTCCTCCTCTTGGGGCACTAGGGCCACAAAGCGCGGGGGGCTGTTCCGGCGAGCGATGCAGCGGCACAGGGCAAACACGCCCTTCTCTGTGCACTTCTTCAGGAGAGCGGAGAACAGACACGAGCTCCCTGCAGTCGTGGAAAAACACAACCGTTAAACAATAATAAGCAATTACAAGTTTTTCTCCCCCTCTGATCAGCAGCTCTGATTGGTCTGTGCACGTGCATGAGAGCCACACACGCGTATTTGGCGCAAAGTATCATGGGAGCTCGTCCACTGCGCAGAACCAGGAGGACCAGACGATGCCCAAATAGGTTCCGCTAAGCTTTCAGTCCCTGTGTATGTCCCATGCGCTACTGAGCGCATGATTTGAAAAGGACGCCATCTTGGAATACCAGGGCTTGGTGTAAACATACAACAATATATACACGTCTTTCACTGGAATATACAGGATTTTATAGTTGCTTCTTTATTATACTAATGTCAGAGATTTTATGCTTGCTTCTTTTTTATGTAAACGTACAATGTAAATGTGCACTTGTCCTGGTAGAAAAATTCATCCTCAACATTTGACCCATCCTGATGCCACTAAGGCTTTCGTCAGCAGAGGTCACCGTAGCAACAGCGCTCGGGAACCCATCTCCAGTTGTTGGTACTCAGTTTGGTCAGGACCGGAGCTGAAGGATTTTACCTAGTGTGCATGTTTTTAGTGGTAGGGGAAACCGGAGCAATTGGAGGAAACCTAGGCAGACACGGAGAGAACACGCAAACTCCATTCAGAAAGACTCGCCCACAACATTCGTCAAGTGAAATTTAGAGATTTTATTTTATTTTGGTATAGAGTTATTGTTATATTGTGCCCCAGAGGCTGTTCCACGTCTTCTGCGGTGATCTACATTAGTCCATATTTTTATTTCATTACTAATGTTGGTAACTATTAGAATGATGTATGATAGGATGTGATTCTGCTGCTGGATCCTGAATCTCTCCTTCAGGGATCAATAAAGCATCTGACCTTTGACTTCGCCCTCCTCTGGGTAGATGAAGACGGACGGGCGGATGTGGTGATGCACTTTGAGCTTTTCCATAGGTTTGAAGCCCATCAGGTACAACTCGGGATCGCCAAACTTCTTCAAGGAGTCCACTTCGTCTTTCTCAAGCACAATCTGCTTTTTCCCGTACACCTAGAATGACAGGAAATGTTAGTAACACTTTAGATTAGCTCCCACTAACAAACACGTTAAGTGCTAGCTAGTGTAGCCAGTGGCGGAGCCAGACAATTAAACAGAGGGTGGCCAGGGGGTGGCAAGGGTTTTTTTTAAGGGGTCCACATTTATACTATTCCGAAATTTTATTTCACACAAAAACTGGCTAAACGATACATTTTAGTCTTAATCTTGTCATTATTTTTAATATAAAGTGAACTGAGAGCACACTTGGAAACTACAAAGCAAAAAAGTGTATTTAAACAGTAGTCTGAACAAAAAAAGTGCAAAATAACATCATTCAAACATTGCATTACATTTTTCTTTTAACAAATTTAGCAAATTCCTGCGGTTCTGGTGTAAAGCAGCAAAGATGTTGACAAACTCATCCATATTCAGCCCTCCTTGACTCTACACTGAGGCCACCAAGATGACTCAGTCATCTGCCATAACAGTTCTGAGATGGTTTTTAATAAGTTTTAGGGCAGAGAAACTTCTTTCACACGACGCAGTACTGACAGTACTGCAATCCTCAAAAGCTCATGAAACACTTTCCAAACGTTCCAAAAGGACAAGGAAGTCCAATAGGGACTCTCTTATCAATTTATTCCTCCCAAGAAGCCGCCTAGTTTGACGTACCTCATGCTTAAGGTCCTCTATATCTGACTGAAAGGTTCTGCCAAATGAAAACAGGGGCTCTTCTTTCAAAAATATTTTGGGGTCAAGCGACTGCACATCATCCATCATTTTAGCTATTTGTTTTCTTTTTTTGTGTGTGAAAAAACGCCTTCTGCCAATAGACAATCCTGCACCTGTCTGCAACTCCCTCTCATCCTCTGAAACTCAATTATATAAGCTATATTTTAATACAACACAACAAATTCCTCATCATCTTAAAACATACTGCCTCCGAGTCTGACCTTCAGGTGAGGTTTCATCATCCTGATCTACAGCCTTTTCCTAACAAAAAAAGGCCTGTAGACAATGTTTCCTCCTTTTATTTTCATGTTTACACTAAAGGGAAGAGGGCGATGATACGATGGGCAATTAATAATGGAGAATACACACGCATGCACACCCGCACGCACACAGGCACGCACACACACACAGGCACGCAGACCCACACTGGCACACACAGGCACGCACACACACTGGCACGCTGACACACGCACACACGCGCGCATACAGGCACGCACACGCACACACACATACACACACTAAAAGTTCTACAAACTGAACAAGTAATGCGCTGCAGTACGTGTGTCTATACTTTGTGTCAAATGTAAACGTTGGCTCTGCATCGCTAACTTACCTCTTTGTTTTCATCACGACTTGGGCACATGTCCAACAACCCAAAACATTAGCATACAGCACCGGCTCCACACGGAGTCAGGGTGCGTTCACAGACGGGGGAAACCGTGGGAATTTTTAGCTTTTAGCGGAAAAAGTGCGGAAGATTCTCAAGATTAACATTATTACATTGCCGTCTTCCGAGGGGGGCACTGGGGGTGGCAAGGATATTTTTAGAGGTGGCAGTGGCCACCCTGGCTACCCCTCTGGCTCCGCCACTGAGTGTAGCCAAACCCAAACCCACATGGGAAAGTTAGATGTTGAGTAAGGCCATTTAGAAAAAGGACTCAGAAGTGCTTAATAAACACCAATTCATGTTTTTGTACATACATAAATAACTAGTTAAAGCTGGGGTCCCTAACTTTCAAGCCACATCATTATTTTTAATGTTTAAAATTCATCAAACTAGTTTCTTGTTCTTAAAATAGTTTTGCTCCATCACTAGTCTCCACCTGTGTCTTTGGCCACTGTCAATTCTTTAGTCATACTTTTTCAGACAGAAAAAATAGGACCACTCTTGTTCAGCCAATCAGCTTTCATTGTGTTTGATATTTCACTTTAGATATTGATACTTCTAAATTACATACAACATCCATTTCGTATTTTATAGCTTTTATATGTACATTTTCCCAGACGTCTGTCTGCTCGGCTGAAACATGGCCGTTTCTCTGATTTTTGTGTTTGCTTTTTAACAGTGTGCACAATGTCTATAGTCCCGTGATTAGGTCAGCACTCTCTGGTCTCTCTCACTCTGGTCTCTCTCACTCTGGTCTCTCTCACTCTGGTCTCTCTCACTCTGGTCTCTCTCACTCTGGTCTCTCTCACTCTGGTCTCTCTCACTCTGGTCTCTCTCACTCTGGTCTCTCTCACTCTGGGTCTCTCTCACTCCGGTCTCTCTCACTCTGGTCTCTCTCACTCTGGTCTCTCTCACTCTGGTCTCTCTCACTCTGGTCTCTCTCACTCTGGTCTCTCTCACTCTGGTCTCTCTCACTCTGGTCTCTCTCACTCTGGTCTCTCTCACTCTGGTCTCTCTCACTCTGGTCTCTCTCACTCTGGTCTCTCTCACTCTGGTCTCTCTCACTCTGGTCTCTCTCACTCTGGTCTCCCTCACTCTGGTCTCCCTCACTCTGGTCTCTCTCACTCTCTCTTTGTATATATTGTATCTACAGGCTCTGAAAGATACCCAGCCCTAGGAATAAGTGACTCACAAGATCCTTCTTAAAATTATGAAAAAGGTTTTCTAATATGATGAAGACAGCATGTAGTGATATAACTCTTTCTGTTGGACACATAAATGTATTGTTAATGAGGAAAAACGGTCAGTGCCACAGCTTAAAGGTACAGTACATAGTAAACATGTAGTACCTGGGCCTTCTTTATTTCACTGGGCAGCAGGAGACTCCCGGTCTGCGTGTGGAAGATGCGGCTCTTACTGCGGACTTGCTCGTTGGTTTTTTGGTACAGTTTGATGGCTCCAGGTTTTCGAGCTTGAACAGCAGTAGCATAAACCCCCACCGCTATTTTGACCTCGCCACCAAGACACAGCTTGATCCTAAACATAGATATGTGTGAATGAATGAATGACCACACAATAAGGACCATTTGAACACTTGATACACATTCACAGAGTAATATACCTGGCCATGGCACGTTTCTTCTGCTCCTTCGCCCTCACTCTCTTCTGGAGATCGTCCAGTTTGTCACAAGGCTCCAGCTGCAACCCCAGCTCGCTCTCGTCCTCTGGTGGACTAATGACGTCCCGGAAAAACAGCGAGACATCAAAGCCTCCTGGCTTCATCAAATGCATCAAGTCAATGACGACACCTACAAGGAAGAAGTTTTACTTAATCAGAATGAAACTGTATAAGTGTAAACTTTTGATTTGATAAACATGGTTTTCAGGAAGTGAAACCTGTCGTGTGCTCATATAGTCTGAATGTCATACGTTTTTATTTTAATCCTTTAGACGCCAAAATATTTCTATACATTTTTAATACTTATCTTTTTCTTGTATTTATTTTGGTTATGGATTACAGTCTCTTACAGTATAAAGTTTCAGGGCTCCAATTTTTGCCTATTTCAAATAAACTTTCAATAGTGTGTGTTATTTTAGGTTATCCATCCATCCATCCATTCATCCATTTTCTTCCCCTTAATCCATTTCTGGGTCGGGGGGTGGCAGTCAGAGCTGCACCCAGTACACAGAGCACCAGCCCCTCACTGATCCTCCTGCAGGTGCTGAGTCCACAGGGGCCTTGATCTTTCAGTGGGGGCTTCAGGCAAAGTGGGGTTAAGTGTCTTGCCCAAGGACACAACGACAGCAGACATCAGTGGGAGTCGTGAAGTAGGTCTTGAGTTGGGCTCGAACCCACGACCTTCAGGCTCTAAGGCCAATGCTCTACCAACTGAGCCACTGTCAATTGATATTTTAGGTTATCAACCGTGAAAATCAAAAACACTGAGGGCTGGGAATCTGAGGGTCCCTCACAATTTACAAGAGATACCACAATATTGCGCTACATAAACAATACATCAATAGATAAAAAGCACTGAACTGTGACTGAGCGCTACACACCGGTCTCTTTGAGGTCTCCGGCTTTGGTGCGGGCTTGTCGGTCCTTGGCACTGTCCCCTCCGTGTGGGTCGTCTCTGCAGGTGAAGAGCATGAGGCGCTTGTGGGACAGCCGCAGTTTGATGTCGCTGTACAGATTGGCACAACACCACAAGGCGGCACCCAGAGAGGTCTCCCCACTGCCCATGGTCTCAGCTGCCAGCTCCGCCCCTTTAGACCCACGCAGAGCATCCACCTCCTGCACCCGCTTGGCACCTGGAACATAAGCAGTGATTACAGCGGAATTTATGGTCTGTGAGTGAATAAGAAAAACAATAATATAGCTAATATGGGTTGTAAAGATGTGATGCATTATTCTGACTCCTCTGAGACTTCGTAGTGGGGTGGAAGTACCGGGCTCGTCGAGATCATGGTACACATAGACGTTCTTGAAGGAGTTTGTGGGGTTCTTGCTCTGTTCCGTGCCGTAGAAAACCAGAGCTATCAGATCTCTGTAGCTGCTGATGATCTTACTGGTGTAGACACTCCGCACCACCTAAACATGGACACATTTGGTAGCTAACACACCATCATCTAGAATGATAATTACTGGTATATCTTGGGCTGAAAATCACCTGCATAGTCATGTCAAAGTTTGAGGGTTCTCCATCTTCTCCTTTAATAAACATTTCCTTTGAGGCATCGACTAGAAACACCAGACTGTCTCTGCCAGTCGTCTTGTAGTCTCCTAAAACATACAGTGCAAAGAAATATATTCATTTTCTCAAAATAGTAAATACACAGGCTCACAAAACGTCCCAGCTTAGATCGCTTTTTATACTATAATACAAAACAAAAACTGAGAATAATACAGAAACAGACTAATATTCTAATAGATTAAAGTCATTATTTAAAAACAATGTCTGGTCTGAATACAGAGAGAACATGACTTTCTATGTAGCTTTTCCCTCGACTCATGTTGGCATGTACTTGTTCGTGTTACTTACATTTTGGAGTATGGATCTTTGTATTTGCTGTTCATTACCATTCTTGGTATTTTTTGTTATTTTTTGCATGCAGTTGTCTTTCCTCGTAGGACTTACATTTGTCCTTTGTTGACATTTTCAAAACTTATTTTGCTTATGATCCAGATGTTTAAGATATTGCAATCTGTGCTAAATTTACGTTGGAGCCAATAGGAAGCCTTTACTTTACCTTTGTAATGACTGAAGTAATTAGGGGTGGGATTAAATAAGTGTTTACTTCTTCCCACTCTTTTTAGAGCATCCATAAGTCTTATGTTTGTATGATTTACTCTTTGGCATTACTCTGTTTGTTGTATTTTGTAAATGTATCTACGTTGCTTGTGATTCATTTGTGCTAATTACTTCTATGTTCACTTACTTGCTCGAAATAAATACAATATAAAAAAAAGAAGAAAAAAAGACTAACAGAATACAAACTATTGAATAAATGTGATTATTATCAGTGTAGTACCTCCATCCAGCTCTCCACCCTCCTGCTCTTCATCATCCTCCTCGCCTTTGTGGAAGTCGTTCCATTCTGCCATTGTCCTGCGTTAAAACAAACTTTAAACATGGTTAAACTGTTGTTGAAGGTGTTTCATACGAGCACAACAGCGAATTATGCGTCAGTGCAACACAACAATCACAGTAGTTAGCTTAGCAAGAGATGCTTCAGAGAGTTGTTAGTGAAGGTAAATCGGCCCAGACAGGGGTCGGTTTGATGCAGTCCACTCCATGTTTATGTTTATGTTTATTATCAGAAGGTTTAGTTTTATAACAGGATAGTTACCAACCACAGGGTGAGGGAAGCGTGCTAAGTCCGGGCAAGTTTCTATGGCGCGCACAAAGCGTGAACGCGCACGCTCAAATCCACAACACGGAAGAGCAACTACGTACACATGTCAATCATTAGTATTGACCAATTGGAGCCAAGTAGAGGCGGGGCTTGGGGCTGGAAACAGGAAAAACAAAGTGGCCCATGAGGATGCACTTTTGACAGGCAAACTATTGTTTACAGTGAGTGACACAGCATTTGAGCTTCTTCTGTGCTTCGCTAACACTCTGTCTAACAACCGGACTTCTCTTTGCGGGGACAGGCATTTTTTATTTTAATTTTAACTTTCGCTTTTCTTTGTTATATTCTTAAGCTTTAATTACTCATTTATTTAGCTAACACAGCTAACCTTCATCTACATCCAGCTTCCCGGACTGTAGTGATCCGTCCTCTCCATGGAGCAAACGGGAGTGTACCCGGTAAAAGTGTTCATTTATGACGTGACCAAAGGAATGGCTCGGCAGCTGAGTCCTGTCATGATCGGTTTGTTGGAGTTTATGATCTAACTATTCATTCACTATTGTCTTTAACATGTTCACTTATGGTTTGTTTCTTCTTCTGATCTTCAGGGAAACAAATTGATGGTGTATGGTGAGTATATGATCGATTCACTCTTGAAAGAAGTCTCCATTCGTCAATATAATGATGGACCTTTTCATTGTCATTTGAAAAGGCACACTGCCATTGTGGTTCATGGGAAGGAGTTCTTCTTTGGAGGAGACGGAATAAATCACTGTCCTCCTGTATGTGCCAGGTTTAGTATGAATTTCAGATGACATCATAGTATCCTGAATGACATCTGTGTGTTTTTTATTAGGGTAATACTATTTTAGGACCACCAGATTCAACCGTGGACCTGGGATCCACTGAAGTGCCGGAGGAAGTCTTTATGGAGTACTTAAGTTCTCTGGGAGAATCCACTTTTAGGTCTATTACAATATTTAATAACATATTCGTTTCAAATGTTTTTAACACCAGATCTCTCAGAGCAGTCAACTTGTCGGCTTTTAGTTTAGTTTTAGCTTTTGTGTAATTACCTAATTTCTGTTTCTATCTGTTGTTTATTTCTTTGTCATTATTTTTGAAATGTGAGGAGATAACTTTAACTCATTATCAGAGACTATAACGTGTTCGTTACCATAGAAACACACAGTTTAGTGTCAGAATTTAGCATTAGTCTTTTTTGCTGTATTTCAGTAAAAAAATAAATACATTGGTTTGAATGGGAGCAGTCAAAATGACGGCTCTGGGAGTTCTAGTGGTTTCAGAATCCTTGTGTCAAAGATGTATTATTTTACAACACTGATAAATGTTTCTTTTACAGCGGCGACAAATACCACTTATTGGACCACAACTGCAACACATTCAGCAATGAAGTGGCGCAGTTTCTGACCGGACAGAAAATCCCGTCTTATGTAACGGACCTTCCATCTGAAGTCATGTCCACGTGAGTTCAGTCTGTGAGCAGTTCTCCAGAGTCGTTTGACTTTTCATTTGCTGATCTGTTACAACAGCCTTAACAAATGCATGTTTGAATTTTCTAAGATAAGATATTCCTTTATTGTCCCACAGTGGAGAAATTACAGTGTCAACGTTGCACATTACAGCAGAGAAAAGAAGGACTAAGAGCACTCAGATTGCACACAACAAACAGTCTACTTATTTAAGATTATACACAATATAATTAAAATAAGATTAAGAATGAAATAAAATGAAATAGAAATAAAATAGAGCCATTATTTTATTTTATTCTATGTGTATTTTTCTCATTGCATTTTTTGTGTTTGATCGTTTTGATTCTTGATCTTTGATGGTGAAATCGACAGCTCTGTAAAGTTAGATAACTGTGACGATTTAAGTAAGGGATTATGTGTCGCAGCGCGTCTGGGTCCGCTGATGCATTTTCAGCGTCAATCCCTTACTTAACTTGTTTTTGTGTATTCCATGCCAGTTCGCATCCATCCGAATCGATCCTAATCTCAGCACCGGAGGTCAACAACGTCAACTTTTTTTTGAACACTTGATGGTTTGCTAATCTCCAACTTTTTTTGAATTTGCTAATAAAAATAGTCTAATTTTTTTGTACCACAGTCGACGAAAACAATGCAACGTCAAAGGACTTTTCTCTCACTACCTTTTGTAGGTAACTTCAGTGATTAAAGCTCAACATTGAGGCATAGTGAAATGTACCTTTAAACTGTTTTACACGTGAGGATGTATAAGAAACTATACTCAGGCTCGTTTGATTATTTAAAGTAGCATTATGTAATATTTGCATGTCAAGTCATCATTAAATGGCCCCAATATTTCAAAAGGCGTTTTTAAATCATGCTCTTTTCGAACACATCTTTAACTGATGTAGTTCAGAGATATTTGATTATCAAAATTAGTTTTACGACCCGTAAAAGTTGTTATTGTTTTCATTTCGATGTCCCACCCTTTGCCGTTTCGCCAATCAGAAAGTCCAAGATCCGGGTTGCCAGAACTCCCCGCGGCTAGCTAATCCATGAGCTAATCTCACTGCTGAAAGAACATGTGGCCGCAGAACTATAAAAGGTCTTGTTATGACTCTCAAATCAGTAGTGACAAAACAAAGACTAAAACAAGGATTTATATCGGGACGCCTTTGAAAAATGGAGACAATTGAAGACGGACAAAAACTTTCCGTGATGCAAAACTTGCTGCGTTGGGAGTGTGCTTCATTGACAGTGGTCAAATGGTTAAATCATTGCGCTGGTGCACCAGTGGCCTGGGTTCGAATTCGGGCGAGATATGATTTGGATTAAACTATAAATGATTTATTCTATGACAGATTGCGCAGAAACGGTAAAAGGTTAAAAACAAAAAAAGCCGTTATTTGCAGATTAAAGCTTAATTGAATCATTTGAGACCACATGTACACAATTAAAATAATGTTAGTCTCTATTTGATGTGGGACTTGTCAAAAAAATAGGGAATAAATAAAATGTAAAGGTGACATCCTCTGGAGCAAACCCTGATGTTGATACGCTGAAGAAATATGTTCCAACATCCATTCTTCCCACTCCTATTTTGGACATCAATTGCTTATTTATTTTGCATAATCTATGTATAATTACATTGCTTTCATTTTGTTTTTCTCATCTCAAATGTCCAAATAAAAAAAAGTTCATTCAAAACATTCAGTCAACATTAGCACGGCTCATGGCAATGTGAGAGACAGACAAAGGTGTGTATCTGGCAACCTGAGTCAGGGAGAGTGGGAGAGGACTACAAAATATTGACTGTGACTGCAGTACCACTTTTGGCCAGATTTTTACATAATGCTCCTTTAAATCTATAAAATGAATAGAATTTGACAATTTTTCAGACCATTTTGTTACAGCCCTCGCAATAGCCTGTATAAGTGTTTTGGCATAACATTTACGTGTACTATATTTATCATCAATGTATCAGAACTAACATATCTTTCTTCTCATGAAAAATCTTCAAATATTCCAATAAAAATCACTGTTGTAGTTGTCTGATATTTGTAGTACCTTAAGTGGCCTCTAGATGTCAGAACAGCCCTTGGATTTGCCAGACGACTTCCTCATCGCCATTTGGTAGGTTACAGGGATGTGGTTTGGGGGTTGGAAATAATCATGGGAATTGTCAGACAATAAACCAGACATTCATAGCATCCTATTTTTATTTTCTCCTTTTAAATTCAAATTAAAAATGTTTTGTTCGTCAAAGTTTTTCCACCAATAAAACCAAATACTGCCCACCCTCCTCCATCCAAAGATTATATCCCCATCTCTGTAAAACCCGCTGTGTTGATAGCAGTTTCACATCACTTGCAATGACTGGAGTTTGCATGTGCTCCCCATGTCTGTGTAGGTTTCCTCTGGGTGCTCCGGTTTTCCCTACCACTAAAAACATGCACAATAGGTAAATCCTCCAGCCCCCGCTAGTCCGGACCAACAAGATCTAGAGAAGATGGGTCCCTGGGCGCAGTATGGAGACCTCTGCTCCTGACAGAAGTCCTAGTAGCAGTGAAGGATGGGTCAAATGCAGAGGACAAAGTTCCGCACAAGGATGAATAAAAAGTGCACATTAACAATTAGAAAACAGAAAATATTCATGATATTTATTTGTGCCTGTATCACTGGCGTTTGTAGTCGGACACACAGAGCTAATGCATCGGTTTTGGACGCTCAGAGACGCTTCACATAATTATTCACTCACTCCAAACACGGTGCTGATAAACTACTGGTGTAGCCACAGCTGCCCTGAGGCACACTGACAAAAACATAGGAGGATTTTCTACTTCCGGGTGGATCATCAAGACTAATGGTCCTCCCAATTGTCAATCATTCTGGTGATACGTGCTCGTCAAAAAAAGAGTTTTGTTAATAAAGTGGAGAGGGCGGTTCTTTCCTAAAAAAGTGGGACAATCCTCAGGGCCTTCGACCACCACCAACCATTCACACACCCCCCCAGACCCATTCTAATGTGGGTGAGGTGTCTTGCCTAACCACTGTTTGGCACTTTAAAGCCACAGTCGGCACACTTTGGTATCTCCCAACACAGTACTAAGTTGTTCAATTTTGAATGCGCTGGAAAACGGCAGCAGTACAGTGTTCATGGTTTTACACTGGTCCAGACCAGAGCAGAGAGGATTCATGGTTTTACACTGGTCCAGACCAGAGCAGAGAGGATTCATGGTTTTACACTGGTCCAGACCGGAGCAGAGAGGATTCATGGTTTTACACTGGTCCAGACCAGAGCAGAGAGGATTCATGGTTTTACACTGGTCCCGACCGGAGCGAAGAGGATTCATGGTCCGAACCAAGTGGATCAGGTGAAAATCCATTGGAGGAATGCTAGCTTTTTAAATAATGCTAATGAACCATTTAGCATTTTACTTTGGACTAGAGCAGAGAAAATGCTAAGAACCAAGCGGCTACTCCACCTTGTGACCCGTCCTGCTCCACCCAGAGGCTACTCCACCTCTGCTGCTGTGACCTGAAGGGCTAATGCTGATTATTACTATTGTTATCTTTTTTTGAATGAACAATATTATTTTTTATTTTTGCTGCTACTGGACACCTGAATTTCTGACGGGATCAATAAAATATCTATCTATCTATCTATCTATCTATCTGTCTATCTATCTATCTATCTATCTATCTATCTGTCTGTCTGTCTGTCTGTCTGTCTGTCTGTCTGTCTGTCTGTCTGTCTGTCTGTCTGTCTGTCTGTCTGTCTGTCTGTCTGTCTGTCTGTCTGTCTGTCTGTCTGTCTGTCTGTCTATCTTTCTTAGGATTTGGCCTTTGCTGCAGATATGACCACAACGTTTTCATGACTCGTGGTAATCCTTTCTTTTAGTCTTCCGCTTTGACCTAACATTTATTGGCAGTGACGGTTGAGATGGAACAGAGCTTGATCTAACAGCTAACGCCTGTCAAATTGTCACTTAGACTTTGACCGTGGGGATTTCTGTCTGTTTAACGCCTGGAGTTTGACGACCGACCCAATTAATGTGGTTTGATGAACTCAGACAAATCAAAGCCTTCACTTGTCTTTGGTTCGAACATGTCAATCCAGATCCTTGCATTGACTTCTCTGGCTTTAATATTTCATCTCCATCCAAGCTCTGCCTCCATGTTAGTGATGCTGTTGACTGTATGTTGTAATGTTGGTTCACAGCCTGTTTAACTGCCTTTAAATGTTTTTTTCTGGCGTTATGTTTCTGATGTGTTTTTGGACAGAACTGTTGCTGCATGTTTTGAGGGAGACACACAAGACTCTCACTAGAGGCAACACACACTGGAGTGGACAAGCAGCAGTACTTTGCTGTGCTCTGTAGTGAAAGCTGGACGTTTCTTCTTCCCAACTGAGAGAGTCTTGAAAAAGTAATGTCTCTTCATCTTAATGCAAAAGGCGTTATCTTTTACATTTGAAGAAGTCACTGTTTGACTCTTTAGTGAGAGTGGTTCTCTCTTTATGTTTCGGTCTAATCTGATGTGACAGAGCCCAAAAATACATCTTGAAACTAGTGCTAACCAGTGATAACATTTTTGAAAGCGAGTTAAATGTATTTTTTTACATACAGTAATTGCTGCACTTTGATTTTCTACTATTTTCAAGTTCTTTAAACTCTGCTGCCTTTATAGCAATGTGGCCAATGTATGTGTTTTTATTGTGGTGGAGAATCTTCGGGGGCACAGGAGAGAATTTGGACACAGCTCTGTCAGCTGTGGTCCATCCATCCAATTCTTCTGCTTTATCCATTGCCGGTCGCGGGGGGCAGCATTTTACGCCCAGACGTCCCTCTCCACCCCCCCCCCCCCCTCCAGCTCATCTGGGGGAATTGCGACGTGGTCCCAAGCCAGTTGAGAGATGAAGTTCCTCCAACGTGTCCTGGGTCTTCGCTGGGGTCTCCTCCCAAGCTGTGGTTTATGTTTATGTGAACAGCAGAGAGAAGACACAAGAAGATTCAGGGAAATACAAGGGACATGTTTTCATGTGATTCTGTTTCTGCCAGAGATGAGTTTATGGACTTATTATTAAAGTTTGGCATCTTTAGGACAAAGGTTTGTTTTAAAAATATATCTGTAAATAAATCCCAACATGGAAGCTAACAGTTATTTTTGCCTCCTCAGAGCTCATTGTGTTATTCATAAAGCTTAGATCAGGGGTCTCCAACTTTTTTTTTTGATTGGAGAACTTTTATGAAACAGAAATGGCAGAGAGCTACTCTTTTGAGCAGCTGTAATAAAACATAATAATCACAGCAAATCATGGAAAAGACACATGTATAATACACCATTAGACTGTACAGTCCCTGCATTACAGTTTTTTCTCAGTCGCTTTGGTGCATTTTTCACATCAGACTTAAAGTTCTCAAAACTATTTGTTCAACTTCCACAACATTGGGTCATTGGTGCACATCATCACGGCAGTTTCTCCTCTGAACACATTTCAAATGCTTTTGTTCATGTATCAGTTACTTTCATACAATTCTCAGCGTTTTTTTCAACATCATCATTTGCTTCTG